TAATACAAAATTACAGAAAGTTCTTTCGTAAAATGTGAAAACCATACATTCAAAGCCTCATTTGAAAATCCTCCATCAACTGTATCAAACTTCATTAGCATTTCATTGTTATTACAATTGCTGTCTGTTCCCATTCTCTTCGATTTGGTCTTCTCAGCCTTCTGCTGCTAGATATTCCACTTTTGATTGATGTTATGTACTACTTATGTCAACAGACGCTAAGTGAATACACTTTTAAAAATTATAAATGAACCATTAAAACTCTGATGAGAATAAAACATGGGTTTCTTTTAGTTGCATTTCAAATATTCGTAACTATTCTATGGAAAAAGTCAAAACTAAGGACCAAAACCAACTTGATTTCTTAACAAAGATTAAAACAAATAATAACTCTAAAGTACAATTCTCTGTTGCATGAAGTTTTAAAAGTGATGTAAGAATTAATGCTCAAAAATGTCTCTCGTTTATTTTTTGGAATTAAAAAGTGACTGATAAAAATTATTTAACACTGTTTTGTTTGTTAATGTTTAGTTTCGACTTATATATCATATAATCTTTTATGATCGTTTTCAAAAATGAAATTACACAATCTTGATATACGATACATGTTCGTGGATTGTTAGTGCATCCGTTCTTCAGTATTTATTGTATGTGCAGTATCTAGAATTTTTCCACTTTTTAGTGAGTAAGTGTTACATATAAGAGCATAATTTTCACTAAAGATTTCATTTCAAGCTCTAACTTACACATTATTTTGGGTATTTTTTACCCGACAAGTTAGGATGTACTATAGCATTGTGTTCATAGAATATATATCTAGATAGTTGTATATGATTGAAATGAAATCCGTAGTGAAGATTACTGTTTTATATGACGTTTTGGTCAACTAAATGAATAGAAAAATGCTCGAAACTGTCAGATGCTACACATTTATTGACATTGAAAATGGTGGTTTTCCTTACACATAACTTTTTAGTTATTATTATTTACAAATCTTTTTTCTGCTTTTGCTTTTTCACTTGAAAAGATGTTTATTTTTCTGTTTTTATTTTCTTATATTTTATTTTAATACTTCACATCACAGCCTACTGAATTAATGTCACGTAAGTTGTTTTCTTTTATCTCTCAATACCCTTTCATGCATATATCACTTATTCTCTATCCTATAAGCTGTTTGAAGCTGATACTACGTAAGTTCGCTAACTTTTTTAAAACTCTTATTGATCTTACTTTATTTAAGACTATTTATAATTTAACGACAGATTTCAATACTGGCTTATATTAATTGGTAAAACTAATTTTGATTTAAATGATATGATGTTAACATGCATAAACTTGTAATGAATGCCTGATCCAATTTATTCCTTTAACTATTTAAACTTGTGTTAACTCGTGAAAGCTATTCATCTAACACAAAGTCAAAAGACGTTGAAATATCATAATTTTATCCAGTAGTTTATGATAAGTGTACAATTTTTATTCAACATCCCAGCAGAGACACTAAAAGCAGACGTAGCGGCAACTGCAAGGATACTCCACATTCTCTTCAATAAGATTTGGGATGAGGAACAAGTACCAAAAGACTGGAAAGAAGGACTTCTGATCAAAATACCGAAGAAAGGCGATCTCAGCAAGTGTGATAACTACAGGGGCATCACTCTTCTCTCAATATCAGGAAAAGTCTTCAACAGGGTATTGTTAAACAGAATGAAGGACTGCGTAGACGCCAAACTTCAAGACCAACAGGCAGGATTCTGTAAGGATAAATCATGTACAGACCAAATCGCAACTCTACGGATCATTGTGAGACAATCAGTTGGGTGGAATTCATCACTCTACATCAACTTCATTGACTACGAAACGGCATTTGATAGCGTGGACAGAACAACACTATGGAAACTTCTTCGACACTACGGCGTGCCTCAGAAGATAGTCAATATCATACAGAACTCATATGATGGATTACACTGCAAAATTGTGCATGGAAGACAGTTGACAAAGTCGTTCGAAGTGAAGACCGGTGTTAGGCAAGGTTGCTTACTCTCACCCTTTCTCTTTCTCCTGGTGATCGACTGGATCATGAAGACGTCAACTCCGAAGGGAAGCGCGGGATACAATGGACATCTAAGATGCAGTTGGACGATCTAGACTTCGCAGATGATCTGGCCCTTCTATCCCAAACGCAACAACAGATGCAGGAGAAGACGAACAGTGTAGCAGCAGCCTCAGCAGTAGTAGGTCTCAATATACACAAAGGGAAAAGCAGGATTCTCCGATACAACACAGAATGCACCAATCCAATCACAATTGACGGAGAAGATTTGGAAGATGTTAAACCTTTATGTATTTGGGCAGCATCATTGATGAACAGGGTGGATCTGATGCAGATGTGAAGGCGCGGATCGGCAAAGCAAGAGCAGCATATTTACAACTGAGGAACATCTGGAACTCAAAGCAACTGTCAACCAACACCAAGGTCAGGATTTTCAATACAAATGTCAAGACAGTTCTACTGTACGGGACAGAAACCTGGAGAACTACGAAAGCCAGAAGATACAAGTGTTTATTAACAGTTGCCTACGCGAAATACTTAGGATCCGTTGGCCAGATACTATCAGCAACAACCTACTGTAGAAGAGAACAAATTAGATTCGAGCGGAGAAAGAAATCAGGAAGAAACGCTGGAAGTGGATAAGACACACATTGAGGAAAGCACCCAACTGCGTCACGAGACAAGCCCTCATTTGCAATCCTCAAGGCCAAAGGAAAAGAGGAAGACCAAAGAACACATTACGTATGGAAATGGAGATAGACATGAGTAAAATGAACAAGATTGGATGGAATTAGAAAGGAAGGCCCAGGACAGAGTGGGTTGGAGAATGCTGGTCGGCGGCCTATGCTCCATTGGGAGTAACAGGCGTAAGTAAGTAAGTACCATTTTTATTACAAATCAACAAATCAAATAGTTTTTTTGTCTTATTCCACTTATATTTAGCAGTGTACACAATAATCATTTTATGCAATTAAATACAAGAATTCCATTGCTTTCAGTGAGCATGATATCATTCTCAATGATTCAATGGTTGAATTGAAAAGTAAGGAAAATAAATAAATAAATATATATATATATATATATATATATATATATATATATATATATATATATATATAGTGAACTTTTCCATTGTTCGCGGTTTTGGTTTGCAACAGGGATTCCCCAAACGATATGTACTTAAATCTAATCCAAAATATCAATACTTGTATGTAGTGTGACAGAACAATTTCTTATATATAGAAGCTATGACCTAACTGTTCCAAACTGATCTTTCCGAAAAAAACGTCAAAATTACTCTTGCCAAATCTAGTGCTAAATTTCTGAGAAATTTATTTCACATAAAGATAAGAAATAAGTTCCGGAAAAATAGTCCAATACAAAGCCAAGTTGTCAATAAAATCAAACAACCGCAATAACATTTACATAAAATGAAATCATTCTATTTAAATTCATCTGATCGCTTGTAACAAGAAAAGAAATTTGGAACAATCAATAAAATTGAAAATCACGTTTGAACGTTTTTCAGTTGATTTAGTTGAGAGTAAATTTTGGACCAGGATATTAAATCGGAAAAATAAGCTAAGGGAACTGGAAGTGGAAACAGACACTCATTGATAAAACAAATTCAACAATCAGAGCACAAACTTTTTTCTGGTTATTACTGGTTACTTAGTTGTAGTTCTCATCTTTAGCGAACTAATTCTTTCTATGTTTTCCTGATTCTTTTTACTCAAAAACGTCACAGTGTGTATCTGGACCAGTGACAGTGTTCCTGACTATGACACTGGTTCAAATCTCAATGGGAAAATCAATTCCTTCAACTTTTTGAATGCTCCTTGCTAACGAGTACCAGATGACACAAAACCTGTATTCATGACTTTCGCTTAATTAACTTCAGTCACATACTACATCGTCATATGGTATGCGGTTAGCTATGTTACAACTTTATTGATAAAACTCATTTAGCACCAGAACCTAGGTAGCATGACATTGGTTATTACTCACCTATCAGTTAGTGTAAGATACGTTTTTTAGCGTTGTATTCAATACAATAGTATGCGTTTCGTTGTTTTCGTTCGTCGAAATACTCATCATATTTATGCCATTTGTGTTCTATGGAGTGTAATATGTTGTTCCAGTTGTTGTAAATTATTGTCCCAATAATTTCTACTTGAAATTGTGGTAGTTTTACAGTAAATTATTCAAATTATCAAGGCGAACATTTAGAAAGTGGCTGTCAACTGACGTCTGATAATGGACTGAGAATAAAATAAGAATTAAATTACTACATCTGTCACACATGTATAATTTAATAAATGATTGAAAGCTAATAATTAGCAACCGGTTTTTATGCCTGTATTTAAAAGTTTATTACACGAGTGCATGGATATCGTTTTCCTTGATTTCGAAAAATACATACCTATTAGTTTTGTATTCTATACAATTATTCAAATTAATTTAATGTAATTTGAGTAAAGCAAGAACAACAAAAGTAGTAGAATAGGGTGGATTCATTTATTTAGTGGATTCTCATCAGTTACTCACAACTTACATAAAATAGTAATAAATATTTATTACCAATTGACATACTTCATATTTTGTTGGCGAAAATTAGTAGAACAATAACAACAACAAAACATGAGAGAAATATAAAATGGTAAAGTGGATGAGTATTTACATATTATCAAGTGTGAAAATTGTAGAAGGAAATTACTAGAGCACACGATCCTAGTGACTGAACATTGATATCACAGTTACGTCATAACAATTATGAAATTGGATAGATTAACAGAGTGAGTTCAGTAAAGGCCAGAAACAACCTGAGAATTAAAGAAAATTGTAGAACGAAAATACTAAAACAAACGATTTTGAAAATAAAGATATTTGAAAAAAAAGTATGTAAAATAATTGTTGTCCACAAACGTTTATCAGTATATATGGGAAAATGAGAATGGAGAGAACGGAGTTCACTACAGCCGAGAAAAAGTCTGTAGTTCTACGACTCAGATTCAATGACGATGATGATGATGATGATGATGATGATGATGATGATGATGATGATGATGATGATGATGATGATGATGATGATGATGATGATGATGATGATGATGATGATGATGATGATGATGATGATGATGATGATGATGATGATGATGATGAATTAGCTAACATGATCGATTCTAGACTGGATGATGTACTGAACACGACGAATTCAGCCGCCACATACTAGTTTCGCTTGGTCAGACAAATTGATCATTCAAACAAATAAAAGTGGACCAACTTTCATACCATCTCACTTCCAATCGCATGAACTACTTTACACGTTCATACCAAACTCCATACTTTGAAAGAACTGAAGGAGTGCTCCTGTTCACATCTCGTAGCACACTCCACAGAAATTCAGATTGAAAGGTCAACGTATTGTAAACAGTGCTATTGTCTGTCATCTGTTCGATGGTGGACATAATGCTAGAATTATAAAATCATTCATAATATTCAATGCTCAAACAGCTTCAAATTTACTACGTTATGCAGAAGCCATCGATATTGAAAATCAAAACTGTGTATTGGAAGAATACATTTGTTAATCTCTTACTACTCTGATAACTTTCATTTCTCCTTGAAATCATGGACCAAACCATGTTAGACCAGCATTGGAAACTATTCACTATTCAACTACGTAATATCTTATTTTATATTCTCACTATAAAATACCTTTCCATAATTCTTGTGACATTTCTGAGCTTTGTTCAACTCACTCTGTTAATCTATCCAATTTCATAATTGTTATGACGTAACTGTGATATCAATGTTCAGTCACTAGGATCGTGTGCTCTAGTAATTTCCTTCTACAATTTTCACACTTGATAATATGTAAATACTCATCCACTTTACCATTTTATATTTCTCTCATGTTTTGTTGTTGTTATTGTTCTACTAATTTTCGCCAACAAAATATGAAGTATGTCAATTGGTAATAAATATTTATTACTATTTTATGTAAGTTGTGAGTAACTGATGAGAATCCACTAAATAAATGAATTCACCTTATTCTACTACTTTTGTTGTTATTGTTTCATTCAGATTTATCAATAGGAAAAAATTATGTGAAATTGAATTTCGACTAAAATTATTCTGTGGAACCATTAAATTGTCATTGGTTTTAATCAATCTATACAATTTATTTATATTAATCCACTGTCTATAGTGAATAGTTTTAGGTAAACTATGAACAATAGGCTACACTATTTTTTCTCATTCATTCATTCATATTAAATAGAATTAAGAAAACATTTTATTCAAATTAATTACATTATCTGAATTTAGAAACATGTGATTAAACTTGTTTGATATTGGAAACAAAAACAAAGAAAGGCGCTATTTATTAAAATCAACTTACTATTAGGTTGTACATAAATTATCTACATGAATAAATGTAACATAAACTAAAACTCGTATAATACGAATAAAATCTTTTTTTTCTTATTATTTTATACTGTTAAATGTAATGAATTATAGAATGTGTTACTAATTTAACAATATTGAATATTATCGAATGGGGATTTTTTGTGGAGATTGTATTAAATTAATAGTTCAGTTCATGAGTCAATTAAAGCTAGATCATCATGGAAAACCTGAAAGCACACTGAACGGCTGTTTCATACTAATATGAGATCGTAGATACACACTGTTGAGGAGTCTGATACTGGGACAAAATGGTCATTCAGTGCTTCTAGGTTTCCCATGATGGTTTAGCTTTAATTGACTCAACTATTAAATATTAAATATGTTGATGATATTACAGAAAAACTAATTAGTTAACTACTACTATCTACAAAGAGTATTCCATTTTTAAGTTCAAGATAATTATGGATTGAAAAACCATGCACACGCACACACACACACATAAATACGCTTCCAAACATTAAAGTTGAACAAGTTTAAAAAGATTGGTTTAATTATGATTAAAAAGGAAATAGTAATCTGTTAGTTGTTGTAATACGTGTAAGATTTATTTTCATTCCAATCACTTTGATCATAATTATTTAAGTAATCGATTGAATATGATAACAAAAAGAAAAAGAACCTAATCAATGATGATAAACTGATTGTGATTAGTTTTTAAAGTAGAATAATTTTATTCGACTAATAATAATAAGTTAATTCATGTAAATTATAAGTAACAAAAATAGGCCAATAATTGAATGACATTTATTTATTTAATAGTTGAATTCATGAATCAATTAAAGCTAGACCACCATGGAAAACCTGGAAGCATTGAACGGTCGTTTTGTCCTAGTGTGGGACTCCTCAGCAGTGCTCATCCACCTTTCACTAAGTTATCTTACAGATTTTCTGATAACGGAACTCTTAATTATTGATTTTATACACATACAATAGGGCACAAATTAAGCGATAACATTAAGAAGAAACAAAAAAGAGAACAGAAGGATAACCAGAAAGAAGAAAAGCGGACAAGAATGGGATATATGAGGAAATACAGCCGAGAACTTTTTTAATTAAAGGAGTTTCTCTCACTGTTGTGAATAGTGTAAAAGGAAAATATAACAGGGTTTTCTTCGACTTTTATTCTAAAAATATAAATTTGGAAAAAAACGAGCTTCTGAGCGAGTTGCAAAACAAAGTAAATACAGACTGGAAGCAAAATAAAATACAAAGTTGAAGCTTTATTAAATAAATTTGTTTGAAAAAAGTTAATTATGTGAGTGAAACAGGATACTGTTCGGTTATCTGGACTGGACCAATCCGTTTACATGTTGGGACACTCCTTGAGTGTTTGACTTGGAGATCCTAGTGGCCATGGAATATCTAACTCCAATTTGTTCATGTGATTACCGTTATCGATTTATACATGTCTCCAATCCTCGTGTTTAATTATCGACTTAATCCGCGTTGGTGAATAACGGAACTAAATAAGTCAAATACGAGAATGGATTTCTAATACGTGTGTTTCATACAGTCGTTGATCTGAACAGACAATCATGGAGACGGTGCAAAGGAAGTGAAGAGGATTAGAGAGGAGCGAAACTAAATGATGCGCAGTGGATAAGGCGAGTGAGCCAACTCGATTTAACAAAGTGTGAATCGACATTTATAGTCCGACCAAAAATAAGTTACAGACATGTGATGAATAAGATATGAAACGCACACATATACGTTTGTATAAAAACAATCAGGGTTGATAAGAGAATAATCAACAAGATCAAAATGTGATTAATAAATTGGCCTGTCAGGATGCTAGAATAAACTATGTGGGCTTAACATAGCAACCAACACTACAAGATCAAGGCCACAAAGCAGTGAAGAAACATCATAAGATGCAATCCCTTGGTAGTCAGTATCCTAAGTAGTTTTATACATCATTCTTTTTCTCAGGATCCTGGAGTCACGTAAATCATTAGTTTTAAATCAGGATTCTCTAACTCTTCTAGGTGCAGCCTTAGTACCTACCAACTCGAGTTAAGCCAGAAACATTCACTATGATGTAATACATCCTATCACGTAAAGAGAGTGATTATCAATTCATTAACAAAAGCTAAAGAAGCATGAGTATATGAGAGCGCTCCACGACGAAGAAAGAGGGGACACTCCTCACCCTGTAACGTATTAAAAGGTTTGGGGGCGATAAAGACTAAATCCAAATTAAGATTTCCAGAGACCAACTAATCAGCGATGACTTTATTACCGATGATGATTCGTATTACTAATTTTATTTCCCAGTCTCAACCTTAACTAAGATTGCTTTCACTACAAGTGATAAAAACGAAATTTTACCGAAACGTTAGATGGTTTTGTGCTTGGTGTTAGATTTAAACATATTGAAATTGAAGCTAATTACCAATGATAAGTGCTGATTTGAGGAGAGTCGAGCATTCAGTATTCCCATATTAAAGATATATATATATATACTTACTTGGGTAAAAAAAGTGTGCAGAATATTACCATGAACTAATGGTAATCGAATATTTTAATTGTTTTACGAACTCGAATTGAATTTTGAAACAAGAAGTACTGCTGTGTTCGAGATATTATTATACCACCTTGGAACCAGCGAACTGAACGTAAACCAGCAACGTAATAATAGGACGAAGCTAAACCATTTCTCTACTCTCAAGTCCTGCTAATTAGAGGAAGAAGATCACATGAAGCTCAGAAGAACGAATAACAAGCACTCAACTCAAGCGCACTACATATAGTACAAAATTTCCTTGCAAAGCATCACAAAATAGTAAGCTAAAAGAGAAAACGAATCAATGACGTTTAAGATCCTTCCGGTTAGGAAACACAAACTGAAGGTAATAACTGGCACTTTTGGCCCGTAAGATAAAAGCAGTGTATTGACAATTTTTCTTCACTGTAGATTCATGTTCGCTGAAAAACCAGTGAGAATGTACGACTCTAAGTAGTTAACTCCTCGGAAGTTTAATTACTTAACTTCAAACAGAATGAAACCCAGAAAATTCTCATCTTCAAACGAAAATGTTATCATTCGGAAATAGGGTTTCAATCCAGTGGTTATCACTTGAAATGTTCTAATATCAATCCGATGGTGAGTGAAAATGAGTAAAGACATTTTTTAAGTTTTGCACTTACGCTTGTTGTACATAACACTTTTTAGATAAACTATCTTAACACCAATATATAAAATAGAAATCTTCTAAAATTTCATATTGTCCAATTATTTATTAACATAAATTAAGTGTCATCAGTTATCATTCACGTATTTGCTAATACACCTACTGACATCTATGGTCACGTCTATAAATGAGCTTATTTCTACCTGAAAAGATATTACAATGGGTAGTTAAGGTCGTTTTTTTTATTTTTGTGATAGCACCACTTATAACAGTCTAATAAATGCATATATTGTAAACAAATATCGATGATATTATGTACCCTAGTTTTTTATGCGATGTTGTCATTTTAACATTGTATAAACATGTTCTGCGTTTTTCTCTAATTTGATTTATCGGAAGTAATTTCTTGCCAAATAATTACTCTAAAATGGTAGTTTTAAAATTTACAATTTACTTATCGATTTATCATTAAAATCAAGTACATTTTATTGTTGTACTAATTGCCAAATATTCATCTGGTTATGTTTTAAGATAAGTTTAATGCTTGACAAAATCTACCCATGAAATTTATCGAAACTGCAATGATCAATTAATAAGTTATACTACTTAAATAATTTTTTGTTCATTGACGGTATCCCTTTAACGTTTTTTTTTCAAGTCTAGTTATGAGTATAAAGGAATATCGCTTGTAAAAAGCATATTTAACATTCTTAATCATCATTTTTGGTAACGAAACCCGAAATGAAATATCAAAATCAAATTCACATCAGGAATATAAACTGGTCTTTGTGAATAAATATTTCTGATTTCAT